ATCTGGGCAATGAAATATAAAATGCTCTGCGTACTTCCTGTAATGTGCTCACGGACCAATGCTATATATTTTTTTAAACTTTCTCAGATCAATGTGACACCCATTTACAGATATAACTTTGTACTCATATGTCTGAAGATGCCTTGCTTGGACTGTCACCATGTTCCATCACATCTACTCCTTCCAAATCATCTTCATGTCTATGAATAAAACACAAGAATATGATTAGAATAAATAAACATTTTTTCCTATACATTGGAGAGGTTAGACCATTGGCGTAGATTTGCTCTGGCTTTATTTCATGTCTCTGTCTCTCTAGGGTGATAATATCTTTGCACAACGCTGCAGATATCTCTCTCAGTCTGAATGGAAGTTAGACTCTGAGAGAGAAAGAGAATCATGATGAAAGTGGTCAATTCTCTTAGTCTCCCAGATGTAACGTCCAGCAATGGTCAGTTTTAGGTACAGTCTGACCTTTCAACATCTATTCAACATCTGGTCAGAAAGGAGACACAACACTGCATGTGTTCCCTTTAAATGAGCTGACTTCATACCAGCTGGAACTCAGAGCCTCTGGCTCTGACAGATAACAACAACATTCTTTACCCAAGGCCTTCACAGAAGGATCAAGTGCTAATTTAAGAATGATTTCCAAAATCAATATGAACTTCTTCCATGACTTATAATCTAGATTATCATTAAATAAACGTTTGCTTATTACAACTTATAATCATTATATTATAATGAAATGTTTCAGTGATCTGTGCTCAATGAAGTGAAGTGAATGTTATGTTATGTCTACAAAGACTGCCATGTGTTCAGCATGTTTAGACGATGAGGTCCTTACATCTGCACTCACACAATAACGAGTACGGTGAAGTTAAACTCTGACACATAAATAGTCTTTTAACCCAGTCAGAACATCCTGTATCAAAGAAGGTATGTTTCTGAGTTGTCTTGGTAACATCTCTCAAGCTGTCAGCCTAGGATTGGCTGTGCAAATCATAACATCAAAACCTTAAAACTGGATCATCCTGGGTGATTCGGTAGTTCTAGAGAAAGCTTCAGACCGGCCATCTGTAGCCAAACCTCTTTAATCATCAAAGATTTTTACACGTCATCAAAACCTTTTTGCACCTGCAAAGCTGATACCACTACAGTTCCTGCAGAACAAGCTGATATTGTTTAGACTCCTTGAGTTATTCCTGAGACGCAAGCTGATCTCAACCTGTGCTGCCTGATGACAACTCTGGACTGGAGAAGTCGGTGCTTGCGGTCAATCTACTGGACCTGGGTGCCCCGAGGTCATCCGACCTCTCTGACCTCTGGATCCGTGATGAGTGTCATCAAGAGGGTGAGGTAGAACACTGAGAGATTGCATCTGATGTGCTTCTGACGATAACAACTTCATAGCTTAAGCAATCCAAATTCTTTTTCATCAGGAGTCGTCGCTTTCCGAGATAAGGAAGTTCTGACCACCACCGCATTCACACAGGTTTTTACATCACATTTAGCTTCATCCACTCACATTAAATGCTTAGTTCACTTGTCGCGTTTAAATTGTTATAAAATAAATTCTTACTTTTATAAACCTGACTCTTTTCTGAATCAAATGCGACGTGTTTATAATTACTTAATAAAGCAAAAATCTTATAATCTTCTGATAAATACAATAAAGACCAAGCAGGGTAATATTTTATATTTAAATAAAGTATCACAGCGTATTGGTCCTAAGTAGAGATAAATATCACCATTTGTAAACGCTACACAGGTAAATCGTCTGTAGCTCATACCTGCTGTATGCTGAGTGTTAAAGCCTAGCACTGCCAGTAACGTTATCATGATGGACTCATTTAATTAGAAAACTTAACTTTAAGTGACTTACTTTGGAAAATAGTGCTTTATGTCCCTGAGCCGGAAGGCAAAGCTCTCGATTTATTGGTCGATCAATGTTCCAACCCACACCTACAATAAAAAACTTTTGGTAGTGACCGAAATAAGGAAATCACAGATTTTAGCGACTGAAATGAGTTTTCTTCACAGGGTGGCAGGGCTCTCCCTCAGAGATAGGGTGAGAATCTCGGCAGGAGAAGGCAGGAACATGCGGCAGTGCCTGGCCCGGGCTCTGGGGCCTCAGGTAGACCTTGGCTCCTCGGCTGTCCCATCACGGGGGAGGGGGATATCCAGGAGGGGGAGGAGCCAACCTTACCTGGATGTCCTATGTCTTATATATTCTGCAAGCTGTGCAAATGCAGGGATGGGAGTAGATATTCAGCTGCGATGGGGCTGTGTTGGTTCCCTCGGACTCCGTGGAGCTCTGCGATGCTGCTGCTTTGGGCCCTGGCGAAACGGGCTGGGGTCTCCATGCCCTGGGTAGCATTTTGGTAATGGAAGTTCCTATTGTGGCCAGTGGTGGAGCTGGCTCCCTGGATGGCTTAGGTCAACCAGCCATTCCTCCCCATCCCCACACACATTTTTCTCCTCCTGCTCCCTCACATCATCACACAAACATGCACATAGTTGCTTCACAACTCACAGCGTTTATGGTTCATGCGGCTTGTCTCTGCTTAGAGCCAATATTCTCCAGAACTGAACGGGGCAGCATGGAGCTCCACGGCATGCATCCAACACTAAACCATAGTCGAAGTAAAAATTACTGTTGTTTACAACATGGCATTCCAGCATTTTTTAACAGAGTCCTCGTCTTTTCCGACAGTGCGAGCTGTTTCTCTCCACGAATTATTAACAACATGTTGATCACGGTGATCTCCGAGAGCTGAATCATACAAATGTCTGTATTTACGAACCATACTAGTTCTTGCCAGTCCGCCATGTTTTTCCGCGTCCGACTGTCCGCGTGGTTAGAAAATTTGCTAGGTGCGCGGTGCGGAAATTTTGGGCCGTGGGGAGGCACGGTGGAGGGGCGTGGTTGTTAAAATGATGCAATTTCGCCGCACGGAGCCGTGTGAACCTCGCGGACGCGTCAAGCATAAACCAACCTTAAGGGCCTTGGGAGTGAGCACATTCAATGACATTTGGCAAGGGAATCTTTCAGCCTCATCCCAAGTGCCGGTGCCCACTACCAATTTTAAACTGCACTTAGACACAGAGGACTGGGGGGAAAGGGGTGATGTGGTGGCATCAGCTGGCATCATCAACACTCACCAACACTGTACTGGAGCAGAGGGAGGGAGACTAGGGGGTCTTAGCACACCTCTGTTGTCGCTTGGCTTCCCAGGGCTGGAGGCTAGGAGGCGGGTCTGGCCGTCTGACTGGGGTCGGGGGTGGTGGGTCGCTTTGGGGGGGGGGCTTCTCATCAGCACCCCAGCAGGAAGGGTCAAACTCTGGGAACCGGTGATGGTTGTACCCTTTGTGCAGCAGTACCGGTGTGTATGGGGAGCATGAGTGGGTGTCTGGCGTGCATTTTTGTATGTCTTAGGTTGTATGTGAATGTGAGAACATCAGGGAAGGACTTGTGACTGTGTTTGTGTATGACTGTATATGTTAGGTGGGGCCTTTGACTCCTCCCATCTCCTGGGACTTCTTTTGCTGCTACACATCTTTGCCTCCCCTCCCCCTGCCACACTTATTTTTATGTTTATGTTTATGTATTTAGCAGACGCTTTTGTCCAAAGCGACTTACAAGTGATAATCGGCATGTTGCCTTTGAAGCTAACAACAACAATTACAACAACAACAACCAATTTCCAGTCAGTCATAGGTGGCAGTGAGGCAGCATGATGAATCATGGAGAGGTGGGAACAAAGGAGTGGACAGTAGGTAGGGGGACGGGTGCAGGGAGGGTGCTAGTTTAGAAGATGCTCTCCGAAGAGCAGGGTCTTCAGGAGTTTCTTGAAAATCGAAAAGGAAGCCCCTGTTCTGATAGTGTTGGTAGGTCATTCCACATTTGTGGAACGATGCATGGGAAGAGTCTGGACTATCCTGAGCGTGGTGTAGGCACACCTGGTGTGGAGTGTGGTGCCTTGGTCTGCCTGAGTGTTCGCAGCTCCCGGGTCAGGGGGTTTAAGACTTTTGGTGTCTGCCTGATTAATCTCTGTGGTTTCCTGGTGGTATCTGAGTCCCTGGGCTCTGCTGGGTCCCCGACGGGGCTGGTCGCCTCTGGGTCCCGAGTCGCTGGGTTCCAAGCTCAGCCGACTTGGGGGTGGGAGGCTGCGGGCGGGCCTGTGAGCTTGCCTCTGATATCCCCCGGGACTCTGCCGGCTGCTGGTTGTGGCCCCCTGGGGCAATCCTATGTGCCTCTTGAGGGGGACAAGGGCTTTTGTGGTTGCAGTCTCCCTGGGGTCCCTGCGCTCTGAGGCAGCTCCTGAATCTCTAGGACTTGGAGCTCCTTCCATCTCCAACACATCTTTGGGGGGCAGATCTGTGGCCCCTCACACACTCTATTGGACGCTCATGTAGAGAAACCTTACATAAACAAGTGCGGGTACACACACAGGTGCTCACATGGTGCTCTCATTTGTATGGACTTGGGCACGTTCAACACATGCCTTGAGGCTGTGGTTGGCACTTAATGCACTGTGATTTATTATTGTTTGATTGTTCAGTAAAACAATTTTGATTTCATATTTCCTCATCAGGTTGACGCAGTGATAGCTTGCTCCTGATGTATTGTTGTGTGTTGTTTTTCTTTTTTTTCTCTCCTTCTGCAGGTCTAGAAGCAGACTTTTCTTCATCATTGATTGTTTATTTTTGCTGTTTACATTTATAGTAAAAATATGAATACATTTTCAGTGGTTTAATTATTTTTCCCCCTTCAAGTAAGGGAAGGTGGCGTCCTAGGGCTCTCTATGGACGAACTGCCACAGGTCCATGGTGACTCCTGTCTAACATAATCTTTTAGCTTGTTTTTGTTGACTTGATGTTTTTGGCCACAAGGGAAGAGTAATGGTGGTGCTCGGAACTAATGAGAATTGTGTAATGGAAGAAAAGGATAAATTATCTGTGTGACAGGGTTCTGCTCAGACAGCAGTATCCATCTGATGATGGAGATACAGATTGGAGTTGAGTTCTGTTTTCCACAACTCAACAGGTCCTGCAGGAGGCCAACACCTCACTGGTCTGACACTGTCCTCCTGAACATCGTGTTGTCCTTCTTCTCTCTGATCACAGCAGTTCTAAACCTCCTCATCATAATCTCAGTCTCCTATTTCAGGCAGGTATTAAAAAGAAATCCATCACAATTCTCAATATTTTTATCTGATCAGAATGTGATTCTACGCTGCATAAGTTATTTTAACCTCACTGACTGACTTTGTTTCTTTGTAGGAAGCTCCAGAAACCTGCTAACATCCTCATCCTCTCTCTGGCTGTGTCAGATTTCCTTATTGGCTTTTTAATCATTCCATTTGAAATCTTTAGAAAGACAAGATGCTGGATACTCGGTAATATCACATGTTTATTTTACTATTATGTTTCTTCTGTTTCTATTAGTGCTTCAATTGGAACCATTGTTCTCATATCAGCTGATCGCTATGTGGCTATTTGTTACCCTCTGCATTATCCCACCAGAATAACCTTACCAAGAATGAAACGCTGTGTTTGTCTCTGTTGGAGCTGTGCTGCTTTCTATGTAGTTTTCTTCTTAAAAGATATGCTGATTGAGCCAGGCAGGAGTAATTCCTGCATTGGAGAATGTACAGTGTCTGTAGATTATTTTGTAGGAACTTTTGATCTGTTTATAACATTTTTATTTCCAGTTACAGTCATCATAGTTCTGTATATGAGAGTATTTGTGGTGGCTGTGACTCAGGCTCGTGCCATGTACTCTCACAATAGAAGTGTCACCCTTCAGCTTTCAGTGCAACAACAAACAAAGAAATCAGAGCTAAAAGCAGCCAGAACACTGGGTGTTCTTGTTGTTGTGTATCTGATGTGTTTCTGTCCATATTACTGCTGCTTTTATTTTATAGATAGTTTTACAAGTACAACATATGCATCATTCTTGTTCTTTCTTGGTTATCTTAACTCCTGTCTAAACCCTCTGATCTATGCCATGTTTTATCCCTGGTTCAGAAAAGCTGTTAAACATATTGTAACTTTACAGATCCTGAAGCCCGGCTCCTGTGAGGCCAACATACTGTAGATACAGTGG